AACAAAACTGACTAGACCGAGGAGAAATAGAGAAAGAAATGCAAACCGACTGGTTGGGTTGCCTCCCAACAAGCGCTTCTTTCACGTCGTGAGCCGGACGATGGCTCCTAAGTTTCGGTCCACCCCAAAACCTCCTTGAAGTTGAGGTTCTCGTCGATGAGGTGGAGTCTCAAGTCAGGAGCATGTGGTGCGGCAGGTGATGAAGGCTCGTGCACTTGATGCAGATGAAGTCTCCACCCTCGAGACCTCTTCTTCTCTTCTCTCGTCTCATTGCCCCAAACCAGATATGACAACATCGATTGACCACCATCGCGTCCACCAAGAGGGACCGATGTCGATGTGGCCTTGGTCTGGCAAAGAGACACTGCAAATGGGTCATTGCTGAGCAATTCCTCGAAGTTTGGTGGGGATATCACAAGTAACTCATGGCCGGTGCAAGCCTCTTCCACCTCAACTCCGTCCTCAGCCTGGACGCCAATTGCTTCTTCAACCTCCCTTTCTTCTTCATGTGGTATCACCCCTGGGAAATGATCAAGAATTCCTCCTGCTTCGCTTTCGTCATCCTCCACAACCTCTTTCTGCACCCTTTCTTGCTCTTCTTCTTCTAGCACGGATTGGAGAGCAAGTTGCCAAGCAATTTCTTTCATGAGATCTTCTTGCATCTCCTCACTCATGCCCACCTCTTCAAAGCTCAGTGTGGGATGTGGGAAAGGGTGGCCGGCTATGACAGGACATTCCTGATCATGATCATCACGGGAGCTCTCCGTGACAACTTCTGTGTGCTCCACAATGTCCTTGTAGCATTCTTCTTCCTCGTCCTCTTCTAGTATGGTAGCAGACGGGTGATCTTGAGCAAGTTGTGAGCAAACTTGCTCCACCCACTCTGTTTGCTTCACTGAGCGTTGAACAGCCTCCTCCATATCATGGAGAAATGAGGGATCGGAAGAGGAAAGGGCTTGGATTTGAAGATCCATCTTGCGATTGCGTCTCTCGGAGTCCCGAACGAACTGCTCCAAGAGAAGCCTCAGTTCATAGTTTGGATCTGGCTGTGGAGTGTAGCATGGCTCTGCAGAATGGCCCGTGAAGGCCGCCATGGGTAACTCCAGCTCTGATGGCCCTTCTGGTTGTGGAAGAAAGTCTTCTTGGTAATGAAATTGTTCTTGATATGCCCAGGGGTCAGATTGTACTCCGTAGTAAGGGGGTTGGTACTGGAACCCGAATCCATAGTCTTCTCCTCCTTGATTGCTCCAGGGTGTCTCGGGGTAATACCACTTGGATGGTGGTGGATACCCCCAATGATTGGAGAAGTCATGAGGATCCATGATTCAGATCTGCACCAACAAAAACAAAAACACCCAAGTGAAAAGCAAGGGTGGAAAAGAAAAGAAAACCGCTAAAGTAACAAACTTCTGCCTTTCCTAATACTCTAGAAAGTCCCCGGCAACGGCGCCAAAAACTTGACTCGCTAAAACACAACTCCTAACAATGGCCAAGTGTAACCAATGAAAGGGACTGCAGTATAGTGGCTCAAGTAATAAATATCGAATCCACGGGTCTCTAGAGTTACTATTACTCAGCTTCAGTTCATTATCTAGCAAAACAGATCAAGATGAAAGAACTAAAACTACTCTAGCAAACTACAGTTAAAGTTAATCTAATTACAGGTTGGGAACTCACTTAGGTATGATTCCCCCTAGCCACTAGCCAGATTAACGATCGATGATTTCTAACTTGTTTCACTTCATTAACAATGCGGAGAATCATTGACTAGACCTTGAGTCTCGACTAAAGGAACAAGGCCCTCTTGAGTCAATTGCCTAGAGGGACGTATCCTTCTCTAGAACAATCGATCAAGGCGTTCTGAACTAGACTCCCTCTATCGAATGAGGTTCTCAATCGATACAAAGCAGTGAATCAACCCTCGACTAAAGCAATCGATCCACTACTATCAATCTATGGTGCTCTATTGACCTAATCAGGTATTCGCTCTCATAGGATCAAAGCAGAATCAATAATCTCGACTAAAGCAGAATTGAATCGTGAAAACATGCATAGATTGAATATGAACTCAAGATTATCAAGTCAGAGTACTCATACAATCATCCAATCAAACAAACATAGCTAGGGTTCCTCAAAACCTAAGTGAAGGGAAGTTACTCCATAGAGAAGAGAGAGACTGCAGTAAGAATCTTCAGATGATCAGTCTTCAAGTCCGGGCTTGATTCCCGAGCTCCAATGGCGAAGAAATCCTCCAAAATAGCTCCAAGAATGTTCCCAAGTCGCTCTCTCTCTCTAGGGTTCGTCCCTTGGGTGTTTGGGATCCAAAACCCAGCTCTCTCCCTTCCTTTGGCTGAAAATCGGGTTTTAAACAGCAATTCCCGACTCGCACGGCTAGGGTGCACTGCCGTGCACATCACCATTCTGGCCGTGCACTCCAAAACGCGGCGTATCAATAAGTCGAACCTCAACCAACTCGCACGGCCAGGATTGCACCTTGCACGGCCGTGCGGATTTCACTTGTACCCGTGCGTGCCCACGCACAATCCCGCACGGCCAGGCTGGTCACTTGCACGGCCGTGCGTGGCCACGCACAATTCCGTGCGTGCCCACGCACAATCCCGCACGGCCAAACTGGTCACTTGCACGGCCGTGCGGGTTGTGGGTGTGCCCGTGCGACTTCCTCAGAACTTCGCCATGCGTCCGATCCTCGTCCAATCGACCTCAAACTCGCTCCCAAGCCTCCATTCACGTACTAGGACCTGAAATATCATAAACAAGCACAACCTAGCGTGAAATCGGCCTAAAACACGAGAATCAATACCTCAAACGGAGTAAGAGCAGGGGTAAAAACATGTGTAACTAACGGTCTATCAACTAGCAATTTCATCCTCTGTAATAGCCATATTAAGCTGCAACACGTCATTATCATCCAGCTTATGTCGAAGTAAAGCACTAAGCTCAGCCACAGACAAACCTTGTACACTTCCATCCACCTCACCAATCAACTTTTTATAGAAATTGACTGCTACATCCCCCATCTGATGAATTTCTGAAGTCTCTGAACCATCCTCCCTTTGGAGTTTTGTAATCTGCTGCTTGTGGGTTCGAACTCGCAATGATTTATGAAAATATGAAGTATTCATGTCCCCCTCATGCACCCCCTGAGCCCTTGATCTACACATACTATAATACATCGAAGGAAAAAACGAGAGTCACATTTCAAATTTCCTACAACGAGAGTGAAAGTAGGAAGGACATTTTGGTCTTCACAATTACTTTTTTTTATTCATTAAAAAGACACGTACTGGGATTCGAACCATGACCATTTTAAAGAAAAACAACGATCAAAACCAATCACACTAAGTACATTTATTGTATCTTTTTAAATTAAAAATATATAATAGCAGGGGGGAACTTCCCCCATTTCAAATTCCCTGCTCCAGGAGCGTTTGTAGGAAGGGTAGAATAGAAAATGTCAATTTTTTCCTTTTTCCTCTGTGGAACGGGCCAACTTACCGTACACATGCGGATTTAAACGGGTCCAAGAGTGTCAATTTTTTTCTTTAAGCTCTTTTATTTCTCCATGGTGATAAAATATATATGAAAAGGCAAAAACAATACTCCTTTTTATTGCTAAAAATAAAAAAAATTTAACAATAAACTAATGCATGGTATCTAATGGGCTAACTCCTAACCATAAAATAAAAGAGTTGAATGGGCCTGACCTACACGGGATTTGACCATCAAGTAAAACAAATGAACATCATTGGTTTGCCATTCTAAAAGCGTTTGTAGGAAGGGTAGAATATTGAGTGTCAATTTTTTTTCTCTTTCCTCGGTGGAACGGGCCAACTTACCGTACACATGCGGATTTAAACGGGTCCAGGAGTGTCAATTTTTTTCTTTAAGCCCTTTTATTTCTCCGTGGTGATAAAATATATATGAAAAGGCAAAAACAATACTTTTTTTTATTGCTAAAAATATAAAATTTAACAATAAATTAATGCATGGTATCTAATGGGCTAACCGCTAACCATAAAATAAAAGAGTTGAATGGGCCTGACCTACACGGGATTTGGCCATCAAGTAAAACAAATGAACATCATTGGCTAAAATATAATGTATTTTAAAGTTATTCAATGGTTCAACCTCAACCAACCCAATTAGTCCAATTTTTATCATTTCAAATATATATTATATAATTATTTGATATCATAATGATCAAATTATAGTGTATTTTACAGGAAATCGTTTGGTATTTGTTAGTAAAAAACTAAACAGATAGATCTATTTGATTATTTTAAACATTACAACGATCCTAAACATTTTTCAGTTCCTTTTGAATTTCTATGGTTTTATTCCCGAATAAGTGATGTGCAAATGGCAAATTGCAGTCATCTCATTTCTTTCACTATTTTTTTATTTTCAAATAGAAAGTTTAAAAGTTAAGAATAATTAGAATTTTGCATGGGTCGGTCAAACAGGCTTAATTTCAAGTTTTGGCCCGTTTTGATCAAGTCTAATTTATAATCACATGGTTCCCTAATACTCGATAAAAATATCAATCCAAACCAGTTTGGCAGGTGAGTCCGTGTTTACCACCATTTTCTAGCGATACGACAACGGTGGTTCCTATCCCAAATCGTGTTGTTCGTTCTTGATTTTCTTAGATTTTATCATGGCCTGACAAAAACCAGAAAGCACAATGACGACAAGATGAAAGTTTTATAAAACAAATTAATCGGCCAACGGGTCGAGTAAAAGCTAGCAACGATTGTGAGATGCTAATTTTCCGAAAACCTACGAGATAGGCGATTTTTTATTCGATTTTCTGAAATCCGGTTTCTATAAAACTTACTCCACCTCATCATATTACCAGAAACAATATTGTTTCACAAGGTAACATATACTTGATTTTGGTTCATAAGGCCGATTTTTGATTCGTTGCATCATTCATTATTTTTATTTCACAAGCTAGCAATTTTTGTTTCACAAGCTAAAATTCATTATTTTTATCACGTGTTCAAAAAAAAAAAAACTATACAACAATAAGCTATACACCCCATTACATTATCAAATTTCATACCTCACCTTCCTCCGACCCACTTTCCGGGGCCACGCTAGTTGCTGTCTATAGAACAACTCTTTCGCTTTCTGCATTGCTCTACATTCAGCAACTTTTTGAACCTCCAGTTTTGCTAAAGCAGCACTAGGTAGGGATGGCAATTTACCCACCCATGGGTAATTTTGCCCAAACCCAAGTAGACCCATCTATTATGGGTAGGGTTTGGGTGATGTGTGTATGGGTTTGGGGTTTGTATATGAGTTTGGGTTAGATATGGATATTATCTAAATGGGTATGGGTTGGATATGGATATCCATTTACTTGAGGGTGTCTTAACTACACATGCAAAAATTGGACTTATTTGTAAAACTTGAAAAATTTAGGTACCAAAATTTAAGACCAAAAAAATTTAGGTACCAAAACGTAATTTTCCATTGATATTTTGAGGACTTATATGCAAAAAAATTAAATTTAGGTACTAAATATGCATAACTATTAAGTTTAGGTACCAAACTGTAATTTGTATTTGGGCATGGGTACAAACCCAAATCCATTTGTTATAAACCCAACCCAACCCAAAGTGAATGGGTATGGGTACAAACCCATCAAACTTTACCCATATCCATATATTTGGATTTCATACCCAACCCAATTGGGTTGGATAGTAAAATACCCATGGGTATGGGCATAATTGCCATCCCTAGGGCTCTCTAACATTTCCACCTGCAAACTCTATAGCTGACACTCAAGACCCCTTGTTTGCTCTGAAATAGCTGCATAAACGTCCATGTTCAACACGTTAAGTTTCTTTTTTACTTCTTGAATTTTCCCATAGAAAATATAATGGGGGTAGCCATGCACCTCTGTCGCCCAAGCTTCATTTACCAACCCCATATAACTAGGATGAATTAAACTGTTAATTTTACTATTATTTAATATTTATATATTTATTTATTTTTATAAATAATTAATTATACATATTTATGACTATTAACGTATTATTAAATGTAACTTTAGTTTAGATATGAAGTAAAGTACCCGTACGTATTACATACGTAACTTTCCGTACCATATTTTACTAACTATGGTAGCAATTATTCTTCGATATCCACGGCCCAAACTGACAAAATAAGGGCAACTGGATACACCGATAGAGGGACACAAAATTGTAGACTTGGCTGGATCTCCTCCAGGTCCAAAAGAATCTGAAGCTGCTAGCTTTTGTCAGCTACGATTTGGCCAGTCCTCGTGCAAAATCCGTATGAAGCGCGTGTCCCCCCTGCTTTTGTCATAAATATGTAGTAATTTCAGGATCTCAAACTTACCGTTCACCGAGAACACAGACGCATCAAGTGTCTAAGAGATACACACACAAACGTAGAAGAAACCATCAAAGAGCTTGCCTTGTAGGCAACTATGTGCGCCACGGGAAGACCTTGATTACCAGACCCTGCACAAAGGGATAGGTCGCCGATAAGATCCAACACCTTGTGGCGACAAGGTTCGTCAGGTAAACGCAGAGGCCCATTCAACCAACCTTCACTAGCACTGCAGCACAACGAGAAACAGTTTCAGGCCATTTGGACATTCTTCCATCTTTAGAAGCAAGAAGAAAACTGACTACTCTCACCTGCAAACAATGGCGTTTTCCAACGATCCTCCTTTTATTAGCCCTGCCTCCCGCATCTGCTCAACCTGCAAGGCTCCCACTGTTCAATCATGTGAAGTTTTCCGTCATACTTCCTCTATTCAGGTTTACTTAGCAGTTGATGCAGCCAAGCTAAAATGATTTAGTAAAGCTACCGTAAGGAACCTTTTAAATACACACACCGGCAATGGGTGAAGAAGAACTTAACAAACCTGCTCAAGCAGACAAAAAGTTCGCGATGAAGCTATTTGTTGGACATACACAGAATCATCGAGGAGAGGAAAAGAGACCCACTGACTGCCAATTTCTGAAACCTATCAACGTAGCCCAAAGAAGGGGATGTCAGTACTGTCAGGGAGTGCCAATTTTCTTTACATTGTTCAGGCAGAAAGCAAGAACCAATTTTTCCCCAGAGAGTATCATTATGAAAGCTAGCACGAGGTGAGGTACCTGAGGGAAGTGGATCCCATAAGTGATGCGAAGCTCTGGAGAAGGGAAAGCAGCGATGAAGGCATCATCGACCCTGGCATGATATGGTTCATTCAAATGCGGAGCTAATCGTTCACAAGATCGACCACATTCATCTACTGCTACTCTCAACCCGACTTCTAGGATCAAATCAACCCACTGCCGGGATGAACCATCGAGTATCGGAATCTGCCTCCACAGATGAAGCAAGCTCCAGAAATCACTAAATGCTACCATTTTCGACCAAATGAAAGAGCAATCAGAACAGTTTTTTTCTTTTTCAAATTGGAGAAACAATCACTGACCTCGACTTGGGAATCATCAGAGTCCAAACTGTGGATCTGAATCCTGCAGTTGTCGACGCCTGTGGCTTCGAGAGCCGAGAGCAAGTGCTCCACCGTCCGAACCTGCACCCCGTCCTTGGAAAGAGTGGTGCTGAGAGGAGAAGGGCGTAACGCGAAATCGATTGACGCGGGAATGGAGCAATTAGAATTGCAATCGAAATACCTCCCTTTCCTGGCGAACTCCGGCGATATCATTACCTTGGATGACTTGCCGGAGTGGAGGCCCAGGCCGGTGAGCTCCACGCATCCAGCTAGGGTTTGCTGAAGCCTGCCGGTCTATGTGCAGTCGATTAAACATAGTAGAACTGGGGAAAAAGAGATGGACTGTGAGAGAGAAGGAAGGAAGGAGGGTAATTACCGGTTTCCAAGATATGAGAGCAGCAGATGACTTTAGTCCTCTGGTGAGTGCCATTGATCATCTTCAACACTTCACAGCCGAATTGCTTGGTCTGACAGAGTAAAGGACACAAATTTGGTGGGAAAGGGGAAGAAAATGAAAATGAACACTCAGAAGAGCTTCGGAGGGTTTCAGGCCCAGCAGTTCAAACTTCAAACCGTCCACCGGCCCAAACCCGTGCCCTGCCCATAAACAATATATACTAGTTATCTGCCGCATAGCGCCGGGAGGCGTACAATTTAAGACAGTATTCGAAATTTTCTATTCTAAATGTTGTATTCTAAATACTAGCTTATTACCCGGCCCGTTGGCCGGATTACTGTATGTTACCCACTTGTGGAATGGGAGAGAAAGCAAGTGAGAGTGAAGGGATTAGGATTCCACTTGATTAGGACCGACCCACTAATCCGATTCTTCCCGACCTGCCCCAACCTAAAGGGTCAGAAAGAGTTAATAAGAAAATATGAACGGAGAGGATTAGTCATATATATTGACTCTTCAGAAGTGGGTCAAACAGGATCAAGGTTGGGTGAGGGCAATTTTTAGCGCTAAGCAGAGTTCTGGATTGAATAACTTTACTTAGGCCTAGAAATTGGTGCTGATGCAGACTGCAGTTTTTATTATACCATCATCAATCATCATTGAATTAGTCCTGGGCATCCCTCCCCGTTGTCGGTCTGAATTCTAATGATGGCTTCCTTCCTTGCACCAGCCATATCAGCGAGTTGTCATCTCGAGCATGATTTGCCTATGTACAAATGATACAATTAGAGTATGAAACTGAATTCAAAGAAAAGGAAAAGAGAATTCTATCACATGCCAATAAATACACACATAATAGTTGAAGCTAAGTGAAAGTCATTACTCGCACATCAATTCTCAAAAATTACAGACTAAACAATGGCTAGAATGGCACTGAAACTACCAAGAATCATGGACGAAACAACTTGTCAAATTAAATAATCCTTATACTGAAACTACCTTCTAACTTGAAATAAGACATGATCACAGTTCATAGCACTCTTATCACTATGAATTGGTTGCAGCTCGTCCTTATCACTGCCTCCCAAGCTCAATTCAAACAGAATAGAGACCGTTATGTAAGATAACCATATCCTTACTGATCATAATTCCTTTCTTCACTCCATTTTTGTCGGAGAAAAGAGTTATCCCCCTCTCCTGCATTTCTCTTTCCCCCCTCTCTTTCCCCTCTTCTTCACAAACCGATCCCTAAACCAGCAACAACAACACAAAAATAGCCTTCGCCTCTGCCATCTCCATCTACTTAACGCGTTGGTGGCAAGACAGGACTGCAAAAGCAAAATTTTCTAAAATCAAACTAATTTTTTTGAAGGAGAGTCAACCACGAAAAAAGAGTAAAGCAACAATGCTAATAGTTCAGATGGTTGGTTTTGATGTTATACGTTGCTTTTGTTATGGTCTCCAGTATATCAACTGCAACAAAGATGTTTCCTCCAATCATCTTTAATGCACGATTTAGAAGTAAGTCCTCTTGTTTGTGTCAAACGGAAACATTCATGGGTTCTTAACTCCCCTGTTAGTGTAAATGCAGCAGCAGCAGAAAAGAACTTTGACAACACAGCAAGCACCCAGGCAAAATGATACAATGCAGTAGGTGATATGTGTCTCGAAGGTTTTGAGTTACTAAACTTCATGTTAAAAATAAACATGAATTAAAATGGATTATTCTATTAAGCAAACATCCCCTCTAATCATACAAAGATCAGATATAAATTCACAAACAATTAAGCCATAAAAAAATCATCACACATCCACCATCTTTGATTGCCTAAATTTGGTTTTTCGCAAAATTATGGACTCTTAAGGGTAACATTCATGGGTAGTCTGTTTCATAACTCTAGAGAGCATAGTAAGCAGCCACCAGGCAGACACAATGCGGTAGGCGAATATGATTCACAATTCAAAATTTCTCACCACCGGAAGTAAGAACATGCCATAATAAGTGTAGCGTTCATGGGTGGTCTGTTTCATAGCACTACTACACAATTTGTTAAAAAAGAAAGAAAGGTATTTAGCATCACGGCGAAACAACTTTTACAGGCCAACAACGACAACATGCTGCAACCACCAGAACTGGTATCACAATTCACAACTCATAGGGAAAATCAAAAGATTTACTCTCAAATTAAGTAGTTACAACATCGAGCAATCGTCAAGCACATACACCATCACAAAAGTCACGGAACCTGATTCACAAAGCATTCAAACATTTGAGGACATTTCTGCAAATGTACAACTTATATGTCTTTTTTCCAAGCCATTTCCATCAACATGCTAATAAATTTGCAATGCATAAAACAAACGGGCCAAAACTTGAAATTCAGCCTGTTTGACCGGCCCATGCCAAATTCTAATTATTCTTTACTTTTAAACTTTCTATTTGAAAATAAAAAATAGTGAAAGAAAAGAGACGGCTACAATTCGCCATTTGCACATCACTTATTCGGGAATAAAACCATAGAAATTCAAAAGGAACTGAAAATGTTTAGGATCGTTTTAATGTTTAAAATGACCAAATAGATCTTTATGTTTAGTTTTTTACTAACAAATACCAAACAATTCCCTATAAAACACACTATAATTTGATCAATATGATGTCAAATAATTATAAAATATATATTTGAAATGATAAAAATTGGAATAATTGGGTTGTTCGAGGTTGAACCATTGAATAACTTTAAAATACATTATATTTTAGCCACTAAGATATAAAATAATAGCATAATATATATTCTGCCAAAGAAAATAGCTTGTTTTAGAATGGCAAACCAATGATGTTCATTTGTTTTACTTGATGGCCAAATCTCATGTAGGTCAGGCTCATTCAACTCTTTTATGTTATGGTTAGCGGTTAGCCCATTAGATACCATGCATTAGTTTATTGTTAAATTTTTTATTTTTAACAATAAAAGGAGTATTATTTTTGCCTTTTCATATATATTTTATCACCACGGAGAAATAAAAGGGTATAAAGAAAAAATTGACACTCTTAGACCCGTTTAAATCCGCATGTGTACGGTAAGTTGGCCCGTTCCACAGAGGAAAGAGAAAAAATTGATACTCCCTATTCTACCCTTCCTACAAACGCTCCTGGGGCAGGGAATTTGAAATGGGGGAAGAGTTTTTTACACCCTGCTATTATATGTTTTTAATTTAAAATGATACAACAAATGTACTTAGTGTGATTGGTTATGATCCTTGTCTTTCTTTAAAATGGTCATGGTTCGAATCCCAGTATGTATCTTTTTAATGAATAAAAAAAAGTAATTGTGAAGACCAAAATGTCCTTCCTACATTCACTCTCGTTGCAGGAAATTTGAAATGGGGCTCCCGGTTTTCACTTCGGTGTATTATAGTATGTGTAGACACATGTACATGTACTAGAAATGTAAGTAGATAATGCAAGTATTAAGAATGTAAGATGAATTCTTATTATATAGAAAATGATGTATACTCTTATCATACACTCTACTAAATCAAAATATATAATACACATAGAACAAGAAAAAGAGTATGCATACTGCAGCAAAGCAGTATATACAGACATACTTGTACATTCCAATTAAACTTAGAAAGAGTACAACCTTGCTCGCCTTCGAAAGCAATAAAAGAGGTGCAAACACTGTATTCCTATCTTAATTTGCAGACTCGTTATCAGAACTCCATACAACATCTAAAGAACCAATTATCAACCCTCATTACATTCAATTTTATAAATCTCCTATACATAGTGGATGTTAAAAAAGGATCATGATTTTCATAGCCTTCTGTTCCCTACCAGTCTTCCTTTGATATCCAGTGACCATTAGAACACCATCCTGATTTCTAATAGTTTGCTCGCGAGTTTTATGCAATTGTGACATCCAAGCCTTTTGATGCTCTAACAAAGCTCTTCTACAATTCGACAGTCTGGATCAATTTTCTCACATTCCCCTCACTTCTAAATTAAAAAAAAAACATAGTAGACCTTCAAAAGAATCAAGCAACCACATTAGTCTAATCAAACCATAGAATTAAGTTTCCTGATCATCTTTCTAATCTATATGCCTACTTCAAATCAGACTCTGGAGTGGCCAAACAAAATTTGAGGAAATGAGATAGTGATATGGGAATTCGAGGCAAGAAACAATAAAATCCCATTTGATGAAGCAAGCGCTCATGTGTGACATGTCAAGTTAACAACCAAGACCGAGGAAGACTTACCCTCATGTTGAAGAAAGTCCCTTGCTCGTCATCAAGGGGTGGACATGCTGCAACTCGCGCAAGAACCTGCTTAAAGACGAAAGCATTCTGTAAGTGCAGGGGGTAGATCTTTTGTCATGTTCTAGCTTGTAATCTGACAAAGGCTAGATCTTTTGTAGCTTAACATCGTTTGAAGGATGAGTCACGAACACAAAATGTTGAAACAGAACAATAAAAAATAATTTATGAACTGAAAAATACATAAACTAAACAATTAAATGGAGATTGAGGTACAAACTTGAATACCCGGAAGCATCCACGGAGAAATCGGAGAATAGGAGCACTGAAAGTCACAATCACCAACTTGTGTGAACCTCACTCGAATGGACACATGTACAAAAACTCCACATGAAAAATCGACAAATAGAGAAAGAGTCAGTATAGCACCTCGCAAACCCAAAACAGGACCTAGAAATTAAACTCTTTTTAAAAAACTTGATAATCCTCTCAAATCAGGGAGCCTGAAGCAAAAAAAGGGAGCAAGAGTTTTCTATTTTGATTGCAATAGACTCACCCTCCAAGAAATTCGATTAGCAGGTTACTCCTTCTTGCCCATCCAATTGCAGCTGCTGACCATGCAAAGATAGAGGAAGTAAAATGGGGGAATAAACCACAGTTCAAGGGATTGGAAAAATAAGCCAACCATAAAATACCTGCAACGGAGAGATGGATTCTCCTCACAATCACAGAAACATCCCATTGCGATTCTCATCACTGCTAAATAATAGTTCCAGCTGCTCACCAATCGTTCATGAGCAGTTTCAGCTACCAAACTCCACACTGCTTAGCTCTTTCAAACACACGCGGGGGGGGGGGGGGGGGACGAACTCATAAAAAGGCAAAACAAACCCATTTCTAAGAGTGGGAAAGAGAAAATTGAGAATCGCCCTAAATAAGAAAGAGAGAACAAAGCTAAACGCACCATAGAACTCGCCAATTTCGCTGCTTCAACCTCTCCTAACATCCCAAATCTACAACGTGAGAAACAATAATTTGGGTCACCACAGATAATAATAATAATAAATAAAGAAGTGAAAGCGAAACAGAAGTTAAGAGATCGAAAGCTCACCGATCGATCCCATTATTTCGTCGACCTCCCACTGATTCCCTCTATGGATGTTAAATGAATAAAAATATATATGGTAGTGAGCCGGAGAGGAATATGTCCAAGTGAAATGGGCAGGGCGATTAAGAACGACTTACTAAAGGTAGATGAATGTAGTCGCAAATGCAGATGCAGGGTACTGGCGTGCCGAGACCTTGATATGAGAATTGATGCCCCCGATCTATGTTGTGGTTCGACACTGGATGTACCAGTGCACAGATCTGAGAAAAGGAGGGAAAATCATTAGAAACTTGCAGCAAAACCGAAAATAAATAATCAAGATGACTTGTTCGTGCATAGCAAAATAGATAATGAAAGACAATAAGATAAGGCAAACCTGAGATTGAGATATCTGAAGCAGTACCATAGACGAAGAGGAAAAATACTCTGCAGCTCCAAATCTCATCTCTATCAACAGAGGGATTCTCGCAACAACCATAGTCGGCGGAGGTAATCGAAGGTTCTCAGGTGCATGGTCGAAATGGCAGACCTGCAAGAGGAGAGAGACGATGTGGTGGAGCCTCTGTTGTTGTTTCAGGCAACGATCTCCTCTCCGACGATCCCATTCCAATAACCTTCTTCCCATCGCATATCCTCCCACAGAGACCTCAGCTGCTTTACTTTGACGCATCCGAGCCGATTGAACCCACCACAAAAGAAATTGAATTTCTATGAGCGATTCTAGTGGGAGAGAAGGGAAAGAAAGGAAGTCAATTTTAGTGAGAGAAAGAGTAAAGAGAAAGAGAGGCTGGTTACTGGTAAAAAAGTAGAGAGGAAGATATTCAGCCTAAACCAATGAAATTTGGAGCAGGGACTCTCCCTCTCTCATATCCTCTAATAAAGAAGCAAAAGTATAGAGGAAGATATTTAGCCTAAAATGATGAGATTTGGAGCAGGGACTCCCTGTCTCACATATCCTCTAATAAAGCAGCAGACAATCCCTCCTCGCCTAAAACGACGCAAAATATTTTGCCTCTATTTTGGAGAGAGTCACTAATTTGAGGCCGATGCGCTTTCCATGGCAGAGAAAAGAAGAATAGAGAGAGGGTGGATTGCAGACTTGCAGCTGCGAAATGATGGCAAGGCAGGCTGGCGCGCTTTCTGTGACAGAGAGAGGGCGGGTTGCAGCTGCAAAGTGACGGCAAGGAAGGCCGAGCCAAACCAACCAACCAATCAGAACAAAATGAATAGTCATTTTAGTCTAGGTGAACAGTAAAAAGTGTCTAGGTGAACAGGGATTGGGGATTAGTGCAAATAACTCTTCTTAATATCAGCAGCAGAATACCGATTCATCTTTGAGCTTTGACCATCTGCACGTTATCCTACCTTTATTATAATCTTCCTAATTTTTAAAATTAAAAGTTACCTAATCATCCTTCATAAGATTTAAAGAAAATAAGACCCTAAGTTTATTATCTTCTCCATTCTCGGGACATCAAAATCGAAAATCCTCTTCATACCAATGAAACTAACAATGGTGTATATATCCTCATCATCATTATTAGTACAGAATGTATTCACAGTGTGTCATATGTAAATCTTCTTAATATCAGCAGCAGAATACCGATTCATCTTTGAGCTTTGACCATCTGCACGTTATCCTACCTTTATTATAATCTTCCTAATTTTTAAAATTAAAAGTTACCTAATCATCCTTCATAAGATTTAAAGAAAATAAGACCCTAAGTTTATTATCTTCTCCATTCCCGGGACATCAAAATCGAAAATCCTCTTCATACCAATGAAACTAACAATGGTGTATATATCCTCATCATCATTATTAGTCCAGAATGTATTCACAGTGTGTCACATGTAAATCTCTACCCCAAATGAACAAATGAAATAGTGAATAATGCACATAATAAGAGATAATAAAACTTGGTCGTGCGCGATCGAGCTTTAAATTTATAAAGTCGAAATACACTCTCTATTTAATCATAACTAAACCAAGTATAACCTAGGTAGTGTTGTATTAAAGTGGCTCGCTCGTATTCCAAGTGATTCCTAAGTTTATTATTACTTCTCTCCAAACTACAATCTAATCGTGTCGAAAGTTTGGTGAGGGGTTTGAACTAAATTAACATACTCCTAAGGCAAAATAGACAACCAACAAAGTGGTTAGAAGATCGCTAGAGATGAGACGGTTGCTTAGGGTCGAATCCTCCTAGCTACGATTGTCAAGTAGGGTTCGTCGAATGTGGTGAGTGAGCTCTTTTCCGTGGGCTTTCGTTGTTATCCACATGCCTCCGAGTACGCCTCCCCTAAACCCATATATAGGCACCTCAATCTAGGCTATCATATCTGGGGCACTAAGCTGATGGCTCATTTCAATGGACACTATCCACCGTCCACACCGAGGTTTTATCCCGGGTACTATCTAGGAAGGCTACCTATATCAGGGGTTCGGTCGCCTGGACCACTATATCCCTCATTCCTACATCTAACCCAATTTGCTTGATTGTGCATACCCGTCTAACTCTAAAACTCCAAACCCAGCGTAGAAGCGTAAAGTAGGCTAGTAGAGAAGATTAGGGCGACTTACCCAAACACAATCAAAGCGAGAATAACAATAAAATCAACTAGATAAACACATTCATTCATAAACTCATTCATGCACAACTTATAAACTAGGTTTCACTTTCCCTAAACAACCATTAGAGAATCAAGTCATTAGAGAGGAAGAAAACACAAACTAGAAGAGGGGAATGACATAATCAAGTTTCTTCTCCTTGCTTGCACCTTCTCCTTGCTCCTTGGGTTGATTGGATCTTCAATGAAGCTCCAACAAGGTGTTTCTCTCTCTAAAACACTCAAAAACTTAAACTTTCTCACTCTAAAGCGACTCCCTTTTTCTCTCCAGCAGCTCCACTATTTATAGGCGCTGAAAGTCTCGGGCTAGTTCGCGGCCTAAAGACGGAAGATGGTGGTGATTCGGGTCCAATTGTACACATTTTGCCCCCAATTTCTTGATAGTTTGACTCTGCATTTCATCGTTCCTCAGCATATTTCACGCTAGGTTGTGCTTGTTTTGATACATTTCAGGTCCTAGCACGTGTGGAAGGGTTGAGGACGAGTTCGGGATGATTGGATGTCAAAAAGTGCATAAACCGAAGAAAAATCCAAGAATCAGCTGCAATTCACGGCCTGGCATTGGAGTTCATGGCCTCTAAGGTAGGGGTGGGCATCGGTGCGGTGAAACCGCTCCAAATTGCACCGCACCACTTTTGCGGTCAAGCCAAACCGCACCATTAAGCTTGCGGTTTCACTTGCGGTTTGGTTGTCAAGTAGTTTGCAGTTCGCGGTTTGGATCGACCGAAACCGCGTGGTTGCGGTTTAGAACCGCAAACCGCTAAAATCAATATCTTTGTCAAATCCAACGTATCTGAAGGGACGCCTCTTCTCTTTATCGTTTCGTTTGTCCCCTCCGATTCCCGGCTTTCTCATCCAATGAGCAAGCCTTACCGCCGGCGGCGCCAATTTTATCACCGCACGAGCAGGACCAGAACAACGTCAACCCCTTTTGCAATACATTTCCGCGGCCTTCCCCAGCTTCCCCATTCCTCTTGCTACTAGTTCTCTCTATCTTCTCCAGATTCTCGTTTCTCTCGACGATCCCTCTTGCAATTTGTTTTTACACTCTTTCCCAGCTTCCGGATCTCTGTTACCGTCGTTCGCTAGCTAAGTTGATTCCTCTATTTGATTTTCTATTTACTTTTCCTCCCACCGTCGGAGTGGGATATGAATTCGGCTAGTGATTGTTTTAGGCATTGAGAGGTCTCAATTCACCATTCCTTTGCGTTTGTTGTGGGTGTTAAGAGGTCTCGATTAAGCTATGATGGGTTCAGTAAAAATGGGGAATCCCTGAGCAGGGGAGGATTTGAGTTCCTTTCCATTAATAGACTAATGGGATATATTTGTCACAGGAGTTTTTTCAAAATCAAGTAGCATTGGAATTTTAATTTAGTGTTGACTTTTTCACAGGAAGAACTTATACTTCTCATTTTAGGACTCCTCTGTTTTTGTGGCCGGGAAACAGAGTCAATGTGGCAGGGAGACAGTCAATTTATTTAGTTATGAACAACCCATAATGAATTGCGGTCGGTGCGGTCGTAACCGCACCAAACCACTAATTTATGCGGTTTGGTTTATCCACGCCGATAGCTTTACGATCCAATATGCGGTGCAGTCCAATTAGATGCGGTGCGGTGCTGTTTATATCAATGCGGTGCGATGCGGTCCGAACCGCACCATTGCCCACCCCTACTCTAAGGTCGTGAACTGGATCCACAGACCGTGAACAGAGAGGTGTCTAGGAGGATTCCATAGGTTACTGACGACTAGGCAGCTCACGGTCTCTAAGATCGTGAACTTTGAGTGCACCTTGAACCCTGGAGAGTGAAGCGGTGTGTTTTGGAGACGACACTGAGTTCACGGATGCGTTTAGGTGTTCACGGCCGTGAACTGGAAGGCCGTGAACTCAGCTCGATCTCAGTATAAAGGGAGAGCTGAAAGGAAGAAGAAGGATCTTCATTTTTAGGTTAGGTTTTCATTTTTAGAATAAAGAGGATTCTAGTGAGAGGTTAGGGTTTCTTCTAGAGTGAGAAAGTGAAAATCAAAGGAGGAAGAAGGAGCTTTGGGCTTGTTCCTAGCTAGAGGATTGAAGATTTCTTCATTTCAATGGTGTCTCAAGCATTCACCACTACCCGGTAACATCGTTCTTCTTCCCTATTTTATGCTATTGAGGGCAATGTCGAGCTTAAGTGTGTGTGTGTGTGTGGGGGGGGGGGGGGGGGTAGTCCATTATGCATGTGTGTGTGAATGTTTGGTTTGATTGCTTGGAGTCTAGTTGTATGCCCAAAATTTTAAAATATGAGGGTTCCAAGCATAACAACTTCTAATTTGCATGATCATAGTGGCACCTTATCATGATGATTGAGACATGCATTAGGTTTGTGCATAGGTTAACTTATCATATGTTTGTGAACCGATAGATGTTTTGAATCGATTACTTTCTTTTCACAGTTGCCTATGCATCGAGTTTAGGGAGTTAGAACGAATGATTGAGCACCTAGGTAGCCATGTGAGACTTGTGTCGTTTCCGTTCTTGTGTGATAGATCCCCCTTTATATTATGTAGCATTCACGTTGTTGCTAGCAAGGAAGATGGAGGCATATGATTAGCCCACGACCCAAAAGTTGACCGACCCGATCATATTATTCCTGAGTCAATCCTTTTGAGCGGTGTGTCTAAGGGTCGTTCTCGTGTTAGGTAGTTCACGCTACTTGAGCTTGATTGATTTAGATAGAGATACCCTACTTTCTTCATGTCTACACTGTATTGAGTCACCCTTGTGTTTGGAAGCTCCATTCATACCATTTGAGCTTAAACGAGGTTCCACATGAGTGATTTGTGTATGGTTTTGCTAAGAAGTGAAGTGAGTGTGGAGGTAGTTTATCAAAGTGAGCATTGTTCATTAAGTTCAAAATGTGGCATGTTATAGCTCTCTATAGCCCCCAAAGAAAAGAGAAAAAAAAAAACAAAAAGAAAAAAAAAGAACAATAAGAGGGCAAAGAAGAAAAGAGAGTGGCCACCCAAAATATAATAAATGTTGAACATGCTCTTAGAAGTGTTTCTTGGCATACGAGCTATGGAAACACATACATGTTGTTAACCTCTACACTCTTGTGCTTAAATTGAATAGAAAATGTAGCAAGAAAGCATTTGTGACATGGTTTGGTGATTGGTTGTGGTTTGGAAAGGAAGGAAGTATGGTTTTTGGCCGATGCTAGTGGTCGTTGATTGTAGGAAAGGTTTTTAGTCGAAACCATAGAACCTTTTGTTGGTATTAGGTTGAAGATGTGGAACCTCATGTTGTGTT